TGTAAATTCAGCTACATAGACTGTGCTTTGTTGTTTAGTCCAATGCTGTATCTGTCTGACTGTCTCCTATATCCTGCTTGTTAAATCATATTTCACCTGATAACCGGTTCTTCTACTATCCAACTGGCCTTGCATCTTTTTGTCTACACCCTAATATCGATGTGGGTCAGTTTTCCAATCTAAAACATCCTTTGGACCATTTAAAGTCAATTAAAGTGAAGGCACCAAATCGTTTTTTCTACTAAAAAATTAGTTATCACATTCTGCTCCTGCAACAAAGGCCCTAATGACCTTCATTTTCTTCCAATCATTTCCGATCTCATCATCCTTTGGACCTTTTAAAATCAATTTGTCTGCTGCAAAATTGGAGCAACTAGAGCAACACCTAGTTGTTCAACCCACGATGTTTTATTATCATCATTTCCTAGAATATTCACTCTATTGATTTGTTAATTCATTATTATCCATGTTTCCTATTACAAAATTAAGGTCAAGTGCTTTTGTTGCAGGAGCTAAATATGATACCACATTTTGTAGTAGACAAAATGCTAAGGCTCCTAATTGGCTTTAAAAGGTCCAAAGGATAATGCAATCGGAAATGATTGGATGAAAATGGTTGGTTGGTTGGTTGGTTCGTTTCACATGACTGCTAAGAAAGCATGTGCATGCTTGTTAAAGATTGTAAAATGAAGGGCAAGTACAATCAGATAACATGGGATATTTAGAAGAAGTAAAAATGAAATTTGAACCAATGCACCAATTAAATGTAGATGTCAAGCTAATTTCAAGTACATGTATCTTCTGGTACTGGATTTGCTCTTTAAGACAATCTGGTTTGGAGTAACTTTTAATGAGTTTATCATGTAAATCAGGCCAACAAAATTTAAACAGAATAGTTTGCTTTACTGCTTTTCACTGAAAAGTACATTACAAATTCATACATGGGTTATAGGATTCTTATATGTAGTTCAATTTCTTTCACATTCTTCGTTCATTACTGAGCTATTTTTCTTCCTAATTCATTTGGCAGATATGATATGCAACTGTCTTGAGCATTCATTTCAGTTTCTATTTAAATCTATTTCCATCACTACAAGAGCTCAAGATTATCTTTAAACCATTTTCAACTCTCTCTTGCAAATACACTCTAAGCATTTCCTCTTTCCTACCACTGTTAGCTATTAAAGATAAAGACCAGTTATAGTCATGCGATTGCATTGTGAAAGAAACATTGTGGAATCAATCAGAAAAGGTTGATCATCTAGCATGTATTGGTGTGTACTGCAAGGTTCTGGAATCATCAAAATGATAAGAAATTTGGCCCAGTCTTTGTAAAGTAAGTTACAAGCACTGTACATGAAGATTACCATCTCAAAGTCAAACACCCTGCAGTACTGTTGTAGCACATCAATGTTTGTATTGTAATTGCATTAAAGCCCTTTCACATTTAGGGTGCGTTCAAGCGACACTTTTTAACCCTAGAAACACGGTTTTCAAAGACATTAAGTTTAAAACACGATTACATTCAAGCGATTCTTTGTCGGTCGTAAAAATAAACATGTTTCAAAACACAAACATGAAACACTGAAAAAGATCCTTTTTGTATCAGAATCACGGTCGCTAAAAATCGCTTGAACGCAGCGGAGATCTCAAACATGATTCTATGACGTCATTATCGTGGCCTGCTCACGGTTTTGCCGACAGTCGACCTTAAACAAATTCAGAAAGCGTGCACCTATACTTCCTGGGTCAAACTCTGCAGTGTAGGCTAATGCGCAGATTGGCTGGGCTTGAAATGAGCGAGAATCGGCGTTGATGGAAATCGCTTGAACGATCTCCCACAGTAACCGATTTTTGTAACAGCGTTTTGATTTGTGAGTCATGTTTGTGATTCTAGCTTCAAAAAATCGCTTGAACGCACCCTTAGAGACCCTTTCAGAAGTGAAAATGAAATAGATGAATTATATATCAACGGAAAGCCTGTAAGCCATACATGTATATTACAATAACATCAATTATATGCTTTTTTAGTTTCTGTCAGAGGAGTAACTGCTCTCTGAAAACTCTAAATCTCAACCTTGAAAATCAGAAGTCGTCGACCTAAAAACTAGCTTTCGACTTGATGACACATTTTATGTAGACTTGTAGAATACGCATATTTGCAATGCCTTGGCATTAATCAAGTCTGGTTTGTTCCATCAGCTACAGGTCAGCCAACCAGGTCTACGTGCTATGTTGTCACCATAACTACGGCAAATTTGGAGAGGTTTTAATTTGCTTTTGTGCAATACTGAAAAGGGAACACATTTGTCATTCCTTTATATTTGAATGCTGTTTTCATTCGGCTTTCCAATGATATTAAGTTGTATTTTCATTGGATAAGTTCGTTAACAGGAAATCAATAAGATGAAGTTTACTAAGAAATTTTAGGACAGCAGTGTTTTTTATTACATCTATCAATGTATACCAGTAAAACATTATGAAGAAGAAAAAAATCTATCAAATCTTCATTTATCTTTCAAATAAGAATATGTGATATTAATTAATCCGAAGATTACATCCAGGATGAAGTGAGATTCAAATACCACATTCCAATCAGACAGTCTCAACTTTCCACTAGTTATATCTGTGCATAGGGCCTGGCTTGTAGTTTGACTGGATCACTGCACGTCCACATGCCAATTTCATTGTTTATTTAAAGAACTAGACTGTGTACGGTTTCACCAAATACATTTTTGGTCTATGATTTATTGAATAAGACATGATATATCTTTTAATGGCTTCTGATTGTATTGTTTAATCCTAACTCCTTGATCCTTCAATCTTTCTGTTTGGGCTGACTGACTTGCTGAATTGTAATTCCCTGAAAAAAAATTGACTGCCTAACGGATACAAACATGTAGGCGTCTACAGCTTTAAAGGTAATACAAAGTTTTGGGAAATTTTGAAAATTGGGTGGATAGTGAATCTTTACAATTTCAATATATTTGGATGCCCCTGTGGATGTATTATAAGCACAATAAAAATTAGCCCCTAAAACACTTCTGTTTTCGAGAAAAATTGAATATAAAAATTTACCGGTGCTCCCGGTAAATTTTGATAAATTTCAAATAGCGCCTATGGCCGTACAATAGTAGCTGCGACCTTGAAAATCTCAGAATATGTAGTTGTGATATATAATTTCCAAATGGGAACAGCTAATCGGTCGATTTTAGTCAAGAAACATTGTTTCATAGCTAAATTAATATCCTTACCTTGAGAGGGAGCTATACAACATAAGAAGTTTATTATTTACAATTTCATAACTTTAGACTCGATTTCAACCGCGACAACGAAACAATGAATATTGTAGGAATGCATACACTTCCAATATGTTAATTTGAACCAAATTCATGACCCCATACCAAAACTTTGTATAACCTTTAAAGGTAAAGACCAGTATTGGAAACGCCCCAATTTCAAAAAAATTAAATGCAAGCTCTTATTACCAATCATGTGAAAGAATATATTTTGAATATGACATGATGATAAAAATGTTGACGGGAAACCGCCTACTAATTGATATTTCTGGTAAATTAGTGTATCTCTCGCCTGTTGAGAGATATGAAATGCATGTGTCGCGCACATGTGTGTAGTCCCATATCTTTCTGTGTACAGTGCTTCTAACTTTATGAAGACCAAATTTCTTATCATTTTGATGATTCCAGAACCTTGCAGTACATCTATGCTAGATGATCAACCTTTTCTAATCGATTTCACGTTTCTTTCACAATGCAATCGCATGACTATAACTGGTCTTTAGCTTTAAGCTTAAATGCTTCATATACAGACATTTTGCCTGCATAACTGCACAATTTAGATTGCAAGTGTGAGGTTTTAAAGGCATGTACAGTACAGTACGTGTAAAGTGCACTATACATGTCATTTTGGATCAAGGATATCACCATTCATGTAGTTAAAGGGGTAACATACATGTACCATGAATGACAAAATGATAAATAGGCAAAATCTAATATTTACAGACCACTACACACAGGAATTCTGTGATTATTTTATATAGAAAAGTCTAGCTATCGTTCTACGTACACTTCTACAAGTGTTCTACAAGTGCATATCAACTAAAGAAGTGTTTCTTTATATAGGCATTTTGTGCCAGTTTGGCATGCTTTCAGTTTAAAACTTTATCAGGAACTTAAAGTACTTGCCATTGCCACACCCTTACTTTTTATTTTCCACAGCTTGTTGCTCTCTGCTCTCTTTTTCTTTGAATGCTTTCACGATTCACACACTGTAATGTAGAATAAAATAGCATGGTACAGGTATACATGACTTTACTTACTATCAATTCTTTCTGTGCTGAATTGAGCTTTATAAACATGTCTATGATTGATAAATGAATCATAAACCTTGTTTGCTTGGTAAACAGGATACTGCTGACCCAGTGACTTTTACCTTGTTCAATTACCTTGAAAGCAAATGTGATCAAATAATTATACCATACATTAAAATAAAGGTAAAATGTCATGTTATTCATGTTGCATCCATTCCAAAAAGATTTTGAATAAAACTCTGGAATTTGAGAGAAACTAATTGTTTTGAAGGTGTAAATGCCCCCATTGTACAGTATTGAGTCATAACATGCTTTCACAACACCTTGACTCAAGATAGACGTGGTTTGTGTGAACAAGGCTGACCATAAATTCTTTTCTTGTAGGATTCAGCTTTATGGGTAGTCTGTTTGTGATTGATGAATGAATCACAAATCTTGTTTGCTTCACAAATGGGATATAACCCATTGACTTTTACCCCTTACCATTCAATACATGTCCAAAGCTGAGTGAAATAACAAATCGTCAATGCATTTCCATGCATGTTCACAAATCATCCTACCATATGGTAAGCATAGTTTCAGATGTTAGTACTGTGACGGAATGTTACAGTGTTTAACCTGAAGAGGGCGACATTTTTGGTCAGATTGATATAAGTGATTTGATAACGCTGCGAACTGGAGTCCGTGTTTTGTATTGATGCAGTAAGGAATGCAGTAAAGTAAGCTGAAAGATCAAACATCATTGTAAGTTGTCGTTATTTGTCTCGGATATTACTTTGATTGAAGTGATTGATGAATGCATGATTGAGATCCTCGTTGAATAGTTGTGAGTTGTGAGAGTCGACTGTCTGGGAGAGTTGACTGATTTATAAGACGAGACCTGGTTCGTGTCGTTCGGAATTGCTACCAAGTTCATGGAATCAGATCTCGTCACACTGGTGGCAGCGGTGGGATAACTAAAACAGCGTGGGTCATGCTTCCAGCGTGAAACTACATACTAAGACACGGACTCAAAACACGCCACCTTTTTAGGTGCTAACGTGAGCTGCGAACTATCGAGAAGTGCAGCCAGGTGAGGTGCCAAGTTGAGGTGCCAGGTGAGGTGCCAAGTTGAGGTGCCAGGTGAGGTGCCAAGTTGAGGTGCCAAGTTGAGGTGTCAGTTGAGGTGCCAATTGAGGTTCTACTTGAGGTGGAAGTTCTTTGTGCTACAGCTCTTAATAAATTCACCATGGATAAAAAGGAGCATCAAAGGTCCTCAGTTAATGAATGTGACCTAACTCAATTGAACACAGAGCTGGAACGTCTACGAATGGAGAATCAAATTTTACAGTTGGAACGTGACAATGCACGGTCAAAAATTAATCTGATAGAAGCAAGACAACAGGGATTGTCTTCACAAAGTACCGTCAAGCTTGGACAGTTCGAAGAACCATCTGTGAGAAGGAGAGTAGATACGGACATAGTTTTCAATGGACCGTACACTGAGAGAAACAAGGGTGAAAACGCGCCCGAATGTGGAGAGAAGAAGGGCTTGTATCCTGAGCTATTGACCCCAGACCGGAAGGTTGGAACCGATTGTTCGACTCCTGTGCCGGATACCATGTTTTCTCAAGAGTTGGCTGGGGACATTGGGTCCCCTTTCCTTGAAGGATTCGATCCCAATTTTCCATGGGAAAAGGCCAGTGGAAGAACGAAATCGGCTCTTACGAAGAAGCCTGACAACAAGCAGGGTGATGTGGAAATAAAAGAAGAAGTTTCTAGAGATTGTACAATAGGAACAAAACAGAGCCAAAGGCCTTGCATAACACCTGATCGGTTCAATGGACAAACATCGTGGCATCAGTACTTGAAACACTTTGAAGCATGCAAAGATATAAATGGTTGGACAGAGGAGCAGGCAAGTGCTTTTCTGACTGTAAGCCTTCAAGGTGAAGCACTCCGTCTGTTGGACCATCAGCACGATCGCAAACTTACGTATAGGGGACTGACCAAGCTCCTAGAGCAGCGATTTGGCCCAAGTCAACAGGCAGAAAATTTTCTGTTTGAATTGCGTCATCGCCGTCAAGGCCAAACAGAAACACTGAAGGAACTTGGCCAAGTCATATGTGAATTGGCAATCAAAGCCTACCCAGACATTCCAGAGGTTGGGAGAAAAAGGCTCGAGAAGAACCATTTTATTGAGGCAATAGAAGACCGGACTATCCGAGAAGGAGTGCACAGAGCTAGGCCAAAGGACATTGACGAAGCTATTCGTGCGGCCATAGAGACAGAGAACTATGAAAGAATCGAAGAAGAACGAAGATCGGAGAGACGTCCGCACAAATTGGTGAGGGGTTCAGAAAAGGAATCTGAGCAACTCATCCAGAAATTGGAGCATTTGTGTGAAAGGCAGGCAACACAATTCGAGACAATGACAAGGCTCATGAATGAAAGATTTCTTTCTTCTGAGAGAGTTCCCAAACCACCAACTCCTGGAAATTCCGGCAAGAAATGGCGGAGAAAAGAAGATTTGATATGCTTCAACTGCAACGAAAATGGACATTTCGCAAGGGAATGTCCTCTTCCTGAAAAGGAGAGGTCGGGAAACGACGAACAGCTGACCGGAAGGTCCACGGGAAGGCTGTAAGAAGTAACGGACCTAGTCGACTTGATGATGGAAGGATTGTGACACTTACACCTAACGAAGAACCCAAGCAAGGCTTATTTGTAGAGGGTACCATCAGGTCTATAAAATGTAGATTCCTCATCGATACAGGTTCAACTGACACAATTGTTAGAACTGACATGTACTACAGTATTGCGAAAGAGCAGAGACCGGTTCTTGAACAAGACAACGTCAGGGTTCAGCAGGTAGATGGAACGCCACTTGATGTGCTAGGAGTTGCCTGGACAGAAGTCAAAGTTGGAAAGACAATCTTTCCATTAAAGGTCATCTTTGCTAATATTAGGAACCAGGTAATACTTGGAATGGACTTTTTGATTCCAACCGCTGGGGTTCTAGACTTCTTCCGGCTGGAACTCATCTTGAACGGGGAACACATTCGATGCCTTAACCAGATAGGGAGATCATTCCTAAGAAGGATTTTAGTGAAAGAAACTATTGAGGTGCAACCAGGTCAAGAAACGCTCGCGCAAGGTGAGATCGCCAACTGTGTGGACGAGATGACGGGTACTGCCATAATCGAACCAGTTGCAGGCGGAGGCGAATTGGCTCGCCATGGGCTGGTGTTGGCAAGGTCCCTTGTCACTGCAGAGGCAGATGTTTTGCCACTGAGGTTGTTTAACCCGGGGAACAACAAGATAACACTTCGCCGGGGAACAATGGTCGGGATGATCTCACCAGCGGAAGTGCATGAAAGTGGGGAAAGGACAGAGAATAGTGGAAACGATGAAGTTCCTTCATACCTACAAGACTTGTTGCAACGAAGCCTGAGCAACATCGATCCGAAATATCACCAAGCTATCAAACAGTGCCTCGTGGATTTTCAAGATGTATTTTCTTCTGGAAGTCACGATTTGGGCCGGACCAATGCTGTCAGACACCACATCGAAACCGGCAATTCAAGACCTATAAGACAACGCCTTCGACGTCACCCTATCGTCAATCAGCAAGAGATTGATCGCCAAGTCAAATCATTAGTGCAAGAAGGTCTCATCGAACCTTCCGATAGCCCCTGGGCAGCCAATGTAGTGCTTGTGACTAAGAAGGACGGTACAAAACGGTTGTGTGTAGATTACCGCGGCCTGAATGTAGCAACTGTAAAAGACGCCTACCCTGTCCCCCGAATAGATGAGACCTTGGATGCACTAGGCGGGGCCAAGTGGTTTTCAACCTTAGATCTAGCTGCAGGCTATTGGCAAGTTGCCCTTGATAATGAAGCTCAAGACAAATCATCTTTTGTGGTTCGCGGTGGCCTATACAAGTGGAAGGTAATGCCATTTGGGCTGTGTAATGCCCCCGCAACTTTCGAGAGGTTGATGGAGAAAGTGATGGCTGGTCTACAATGGGACATATTGCTCATCTATTTGGATGATGTAATAGTGTTCGGTCGGACAGTTGATGAGCAAATCGTACGACTTCGCACAACATTGGCGCGGCTCCGGGAAGCCAATTTGAAATTGAAACCATCCAAGTGCAATTTGTTTCAACAGTCGGTGAAATACCTAGGTCACATCGTGTCTTCAGAAGGAATCACAACCGACCCTGCCAAGGTCGAGACCATTCGTAATTGGCCCAATCCCACATGCAGCAAGGATGTTCGAAGCTTCTTGGGGCTTGCATCCTATTACCGCAAGTTCATTCGCGGGTTCGCATCCATCGCATCACCACTTCATGAACTGACTGAGAAGGCTAGGCGTTTCGAGTGGAATGACGAATGTCAAAGAGCTTTCGAAGAGTTGAAGGAGTGCCTTATCCAGGCTCCGATCCTAGTATGTCCCTTACCAGAGGGGGATTTCCTGCTTGACACTGATGCCAGTCAGAATGGTATAGGGGCTGTGTTGTCCCAAATTCAGGAAGGCGAGGAAAAAGTAGTCGCTTACGCAAGCAAGAAGCTATCGAGGGCTGAGAGGAACTACTGTGTGACCCGTCGCGAGCTGCTAGCAGTTGTGTTCTATTTGAAATACTTCAAGCAGTATCTCTACGGTAGGAAGCTGACCGTTAGAACAGACCACGCTTCTTTGCAGTGGCTCCTCAACTTCAAAAATCCAGAGGGCCAATTGGCACGTTGGATCGAGGTTATCGCAGCATACAAACTGACAATACACCATCGTCCAGGAAAGAAACATGTGAATGCCGACAGTCTGTCCAGAAAACCATGTTCTCAGTGTGGCCTTGTTGATGACACAAGTGACGGCGAAGACACATCTACAGAGACAGATACTCCCTCCGAGCAAGTCCAGTTCCATTGTAGGGCAATTATTGCCTTACCTGGGGTCACTCGAGAGGCCTTAAGAGAAGGCCAGTTGGAAGATGATAGTATGAGCTGGGTATTGAAGGCTAAGGAAGGAAGAAGCTGTAGACCAGATTGGGAAACAATAGCCAACTCGACAGCTGCAAAGAAAACGTACTGGGCTCAGTGGGACCAATTGGATTGCAAGCAAGGAGTACTATGCAGAAAATGGGAGACGTCGGATGGGGCATGCGTGAAATGGAAGGTTATCCTGCCACGGAAGTACCGAAAAGAATACCTAGAAGCAATCCATGGGGGTACAATAGGAGGTCATCTAGGCGTTACCAAGACATTGTCAAACGTAAAACAGAGGGTTCATTGGTCAGGCATGTCAGGAGACGTGAGGTCATTCATCCGGTCGTGTGACCTGTGCGCCAGAAGAAAATCCCCCTCAAAGAGGGCACGTGCTCGACTTCAACAGTACGAGGTGGGAGAGCCAGTGGAAAGAGTAGCAATGGACCTTGTCGGGCCTTTACCCAAGACCATCCATGGGAATCAGTGGATCCTTGTAGTAGGGGATTATAAGAGCAAATGGATGGAAGCGTATGCGCTTCCGGATGCTCGAGCTACAACAGTGGCCCAAAAGTTTGTCGAAGAATTTGTGTGCCGTTTTGGTGTCCCTCGTGAACTACATACCGATCAAGGAACTAATTTTGAATCGCAGGTGTTTGCAGAGATGTGTTCCCTGTTGGGCATTCGAAAGACAAGAACAACAGCTTACAACCCGAAATCAGATGGGCTCATTGAGAGGTTCAACAAAACCCTCATCAATATCACCGCCATGCTCATCGAGCAGTCAAAGAAGTCTAGGGAATGGGATGAGTGCTTGCCATATGCAACTAGCGCATATCGCTGTACTGCACAAGAATCCACGGGAGAGTCACCCAACATGCTCATGCTCGGGAGAGAAGTGACGCTTCCAATAGACCTGACTATGGAGAATCCAAAGTATCCTAGCTGTGATGAACCAAAAACAGACTACGCTGAAAAGCTACGCCAGAATCTACAACAAGCTCAGGAACGGGCTAGCGAGTGTCTTAGGAAGAGTGCCAGGCGTCAGAAACGCAATTATGACAGGAAAGCTACCACCACTAATCTCAAGGAAGGACAGTTTGTTTGGTTATATGATCACAGCAAGAAGAAGGGGGTTTCCCCGAAATTACAGCTGCGATGGATGGGTCCTTACCTAGTGGTTACGAAGATCTCAGATGTTACGTTTCGGATTCAGCTGAGTCGCCGATCGAAAGCAAAGGTAGTACATGTAGATAGGCTCAAGCTGTACACTGGTGAAGATCTTCTTGCATGGGAGTATCGCCTTAGAGTTCCTGAGGAGGAATTTCCCTTTGCTGATTCTCCTAATCTTTCCCCTGAGGTCATACCAGAAGAGATCAGCCCTGCCAGTGATGAAACTTTGTCAGATGATCATCAACCCCAGCTTGATGAGACCCCTGCTGATGACCAACCCCAGCTTGATGAGAACTTGCCTGATGATCATCAACCCGGGTTCGATCTTCCCACTGATCTACCTCAGACTCCCGTGATTGAGAGTCGCTATCCCAGAAGAAAACGAAAACCACCAGATTTCTTTTATTAAATAAGAATTATCGACATAAATAATTATTTGTGTTTTGTTCTTCACAATTGCAGAATAATGTCTGAGGAGTGGAAGAAACCAGAGGACTTGGATGGGGACCGGCTTTACAAGTGCCGAGAATGTCTTTCCACGTTCTTGTACCACCGCAGCCTGATGCGCCATATCGGGGAGAACCATCGGGATGGATCCCGGAAGTGGAACTGCAAGACCTGCGATTATTCCTCTACCAGGCGGGGGAATTATGAAAGGCACGTGGACGGACACCGAAAGGACGAACAGCGCACGGTTTCCAGAAGAGAGTCGAGCAAAGAAAGAGAACCGGTGGGCCGGGGCGGTGAAAGGGCAAAATCCCCAGATCGACGTTGTCCGGAGACGAAGAGAGACGACAGAGACCAGCCACAGGAAAACAACACAGCCATTATAAGTGTACATCCAACTCCAGTGCCTAGTATTGATTCTTCCAGAGATGCCAGAGGCAAGCCTCTTGCCATGCTTAAGAGAGCCGCATCCCAGGATGAGGTGGTTTCGTCATCGTCATCAGCATCATCTTCGTCGGAAGAAGCTGAGAGTGGAGGAGAGGGTGCCACTGGAAATGCGCGTACAGACAGACCGGTTTTCAAGAAAGCGAGAGTTGAGAAGAGGATTACGACGACCTTTACTATTGAAGGACGCGTAGTTCGTACGAGAAAGACGAAGGAGTTCTTCGACCGCTTCATACTTGTTTAAGTTAACACTAAGTCTTACTGGTTTACTTGATCTGTTTTGATTACAACTATAGGCCTCAGTTTACAATTTGCTTAAATCAGGTAGGCCTACTAGAGGTCAGGTTTTTTGTTGTTGTTGTAACTTAAGTATTACTAGTGATCTTACGAGAAAAGTGTTTTGATATTCTTTACATTTCCAAACGTATTTTGGACATTGTTGATCAATGTCTTTGTATTTGTGATTACTTGTGTTATATAATTATATATCTATAAAAATAACAGGAAGAAGAGAAAAAGGCAAATGTGTAGCTTATTACGTTGATTTGCTTGGACTTTCTTATAGATTGGTTAGGAAAACAAGAATTAATAGTAAAAACCGTTTTTACATGTTTTTAATGCCTATATTGTTGAGCTATGTTTAAAATGTCGTTTCGGTAGGTTTAGAACGAGGACGTTCTAGTCTAAGTGGGGGGTTGTGTGACGGAATGTTACAGTGTTTAACCTGAAGAGGGCGACATTTTTGGTCAGATTGATATAAGTGATTTGATAACGCTGCGAACTGGAGTCCGTGTTTTGTATTGATGCAGTAAGGAATGCAGTAAAGTAAGCTGAAAGATCAAACATCATTGTAAGTTGTCGTTATTTGTCTCGGATATTACTTTGATTGAAGTGATTGATGAATGCATGATTGAGATCCTCGTTGAATAGTTGTGAGTTGTGAGAGTCGACTGTCTGGGAGAGTTGACTGATTTATAAGACGAGACCTGGTTCGTGTCGTTCGGAATTGCTACCAAGTTCATGGAATCAGATCTCGTCACAGTACACTGAAATGTGCATATAGAATTCTGTTCTTATCAAGTATGTAAATGGTAAATAAGGTTTTGAGTTCATTTTACAAAATAAGAATGAGATTAGAAAAGATGATTAACTGACACATTCCTTTTGGGGGGGGGGGGGGGTTTTGGGGGGCAAAATTATTGAAATTCATTATCTGCCAACATTTAGCCCTAAATCATGGTTCAATACTAATATTTTTCAAGGGGGTTTGGACTGAACTTTTAAAAGTCTATATATGGATGAATGTTCACAATTGTTGGGGTCTTGACTTATATTTTGGGCGCTATGGTATGGTGTTCCGGGGGCATGTTAGTGATGGGCCCTGCCTAAATACCAATTTTTACAAAGGATGAGGGTAGTAATGGCAACTAATCACATCTTCTGTGGGAAATGAAGGAGAGGGACAAAACTAAGTGATGGGGGAGAAAGGAAAGAAAGAGAGAAAGAGGGGAAAGAGAGAAAGAGGGGAAAGAGAGGAAGAGGGGAAAGAGAGGAAGAGGGGAAAGAGAGGAAGAGGGGGAAGAGAGAGAAGAGGGGAAAGAGAGAGATAAGAGGGGGAAGAGAGAGAGAGAGAGAGAGAGAGAGAGAGAGAGAGAAAGAGTGGGAAGAGAGAGAGAGAGGGAGAGAGAGAGAGATGGAGAGAGAGGGGGGATTTTGCACATACATGTACATGTACAGTATGTGGACTCCTTAAAGCGTATCTGCCATAGTTTACAGGAGGGATTAGACTGCCCTGCAAGGTCACTGGACAGGTGGTTATCTCATCAACTCAGCTCTCAGTTAACATAAGAAAAAGAGGATCATGGGGGACCAATGGTCACCGATTAGGCATGGTTTGTTATTTAGAGGGCGCAAGTAGCTACAAGTAGTGCAGTGGGCCTTTAAGGAAAAGGTGCAAAAAATATACTCTTATTGAATGATAATAGGGAGATCGGTTTCACCTGCTAGAAGAGGGAAACAAGAAGGAAATCCAAATTAAATGTAGATGTAGGGCATTAAAGATATCTTCAACAAAAATACAGCATAACAACCACAAGATTGATCATTTGGTCAGATTAGATAAGAGTGAACAGGCTCCTCTGTTTCAAAAAGCAACAACCAACAATCAGAATATTATGTAAATGTACATGTACATGTACATGTATATAGTCAGACTTTCCTTTCTCAACTGACTAGCTGGCTCTTTAGCCTTGTTTGAATAATAATATAATATAATGAGTCTTGGTAAAGTTACAAGCACTGTTCATAGAAAGATGTATATGGGACTACGCGATATCTATCCAGTCCGGATAGATATAATGATTTACCAAATATATCAATTAGTAGGTGGTTTTCCGGCAAAATTTGTATTATCACAAACAGGTGCGTACGCAGGGGGGGGGGGGGGGGTTGTACTGAGTAAAACTTAACTGGGAAGGCTAAAAAGATTTTTAAAATGCTCACTACCCCCCCCCCCCCCCCCCCTCCCCCACTGAGCGAAATATCGGTCGGCGCGGTTTCCCCATTTCCGGGGGCAAGAAGAAAAAAATATTGCTCGCTACCCCCCCTCCCCACTTTCAATTTTCAAACACCCTCCTTGAAAAAATCCTGTGTACACCACTGATCACATATTATTCAAAATTCAAAACATTATTCTTTCACATGATTGGTAATAAGAGCTTCCATTTCATTTTGTGAGAGGGGGGCATTTCCAAAACTGGTCTATACCTTTAAAGCCCCTATAAAGTGTGGGGATCCCCAAATTCGCCAAAAATTTGATGGCAAATTTCACTTAAATTATATCATGTGAAAGAGGATGTCATCTACATTGTAAGACACACTTCTGCAAAGATTCCCCCTCCCGGCCCCCCCCCTCCCCCCCCCCCCCACAAATGTATTTGCATGGCCTACACGCATTCACATGGCCTACACAGAAAACCAAAATTTGTATTCTTTCATTACTATTCGACTTATACCCTTTTCTAACTGCACTGATTTTCATCGGATGCATCCGGACGCATCCGATGAAACGGCCAGTTAGAAAGCAACAGAGGAGAAAAAGGCGATTAAATAGCCGATGAAAAGAAGAGAAATAGGCGATTAAATTCTCATTCTATCGGTGTGACACCGATGAAACGGCCAGTTAGAAAGCGTTCGGGAGAAAAAGGCGATTAAAACAGCGATTCAAATGGTCAAAGGTCGCAGTATACGCGCGCTTTATCGTAACCAGCTGTGTTTGTTGACTTATGGTTGAACATGCTGCATGCTAGCTACATGTAGATGGAGCGCGGGCTTAATAATTACGCAATAATTCTTCACTTCCGGCAAGGGCTCGCCACAGCGAGTGAATTTCACCGGCAGTTAGAAAGCGACAGGGGGAAAACTGCCATTTCACCTTTGTTTACATAAGGAAAATTCAATCAGTATTTTCATCGGTGTGACTCCGATAGAAGCCAGTTTGAAAGCAGTATTAAAAACATTAACTCATGATGTCTATGGAAAGAAATGGAAGGTAAACAGCAGGAGGGGGGGGGGGGGATATCACAGAAAACAATTATATAAGAAATAGTACCCTAAAGGGGAAAAAGGAAGACAGGGGCAATGTTATTTATATGTACATGTATGAGAAAAAAAGAAATAAAACTGGGAATAAAAGAGATAAAGATGTACAGTAGGTCTAAATAAGAATGAAGAAAGTAATTTTTTTTAAAGAAGAGGAAATGATGAAGAATTAGAGAAAGAACTTGCATAAAAAGAATAAATAGGTATATTAGAATGCATTGATGGCTTACCACGTGTGGGCATATACACTATGACTGCACTGAGATCTATAATTATCCGTATATAACGACGCGTGAAAATCTAAACTCTTCCTCTAGATCGGACTCGGATGGGGGTCTTTCCTTACAGAATCCACGCCCTTACCACTGGCGTGGAAAGCACAGGGAGAATGACATCGCAACAGGTGATTGCTCCATGACTTGTACAAGTCCCGAATACTTTTCTCGACACCATCCTCTTTTCTTTACGAAATGCATTTTGTCAACAAAACAGAAAGCTAAAACCAATGCAAAGAAAAAAAACATAATCATTACAATATCTGTTTAGCTTACCTTTTGTAACTTGTAAGAATTCCAAATGAACACTGTTTACACTTTACAGTAACTATTTGGTCGATATGTACTCTTCCCTCCTTACCGACAAAACAAAGTTGACGCTTGATGTTTGAGCTTTCCTCTGATCGGGTGCGGCGGTCAAGGCAGATCGTTGCACTCGTATCTTTAGCCCAAAGTAAGTCGAATTTAATTAACTTTAAGTTGGACTTACATATTTTGGAGAGCCATTTGTAGCCTTATAATGAAATATATTCAAAGTATTTTTTACTTTTTGTAAAATTCCACATCAAGAACATAAAATCTCCTTGATAATAGAAAATATAAATGATTTAAATTAACAAAATATTTTCATGAATGCTAAAACGGCTTTCCATAATTGTTAAGTCCAACTTTCTTATCTGCCGTAGTTTGCAGGAGGGATTTGACTGCCCTGCCCTGCAAGGTCACTGGACAGGTGGATATCTCATCAACTCAGCTCTCAGTTAACATAAGAAAAAGAGGATCATGGGGGACCAATGGTCACCGATTAGGCATTGTTTGTTATATAGAGGGCGCAATTAGCTACAAGTAGTGCAGTGGGCCTTTAAGTTCGACTTTGTGAAACACCCACCTGGCCTGGCGCGATATTCGCATCGCTATATTATACGAGCTCACAACTACTCAAAGAACAGAAATTGTATAAAAAGAAAGGTCCGTCGTATGAGAAGATGCATGTATGAGCGCACTATATCGAAAATATGATAGTACACAATGTATCAATTTAAGTGTAGCATAGTACAGACACATGCATGCAGGGGCGTCGCTAGACCTTTTTCAGTGGTGGGGGGGGGGGGGGGGGGGGGTGTAGAGACTTAAATGTCCCAATATCTACAAATTTAACCCTATAAACCCGGGGCCGAAGGCTAAATTGTTTTTCCTATGGACTATCTATATAGTAATTGCGTATGCGCAAATGATCATTTTCCTCGACGACATAAGTATACGAATTATTTCGTCAACTCAGTCAACATCAAAGCTATATATTTTAATGCAGGTGCGGAGCTAGGATCTTATTTCAGGGAGGGGCGGTAGTGAGCAGGCGAATCACTTAACCCTAAAAAGGCCGGGCCATTTGAGGCCTTAGTACGGCCGGGGGCGGCATTATGCCCCCCCCCCCCCCCCCCCCTTAAGATCTCGACCGCGAAGCTGCCGATCGCCGCGAAAATTTGCACGCATGTTAAGTGAAGTGTATAGAATAATATGATAATTTCAATTTTATGAAAAATTCACTCATTTGCATATTTATGGTAATTTATGCAAACTTAAAAATCACATTTTTACCCATAAATCATATATTATTCATATTTAAGCATTCTTTTTCACTACATATATTCATTAGACTATTCTGAATAATAATACGACAAACAAATTTGGAAGAGCCAGCTTATTCCTTATGTTATTCCTTGTTTTGATAATTTCTTATGTATTTCATTGTTTTTAACTCATGTATTTCATTGTTTTTAACTCATGTATTTCATTGTTTTTGTTGTTGTTTTTTCATTTCTTACTACAATTCAACTATTTTGACTCCCAAAACAACCACCTAAACTCACCTAAACTTTAAACAAGACCCAATAACCCATGTTTGATCTGTTTTTAGGAAAAATGACTTTTCCATATGTTTTGTATACACAAATCACGAAAATTAGCGATTTTCGGGCTGACATGCAAAGACAAAAGGTCACATGACCTTGTAACCGTAGGTCCGATTTTCAAAAAAATTCTTTTAAAAGTTGCCCAAGACTCGAAAGAAAAAAGTCACCGAGCGGCGGGGCGCCATCCATATGCGTTCCCGAGCAATCAGAAAAATCGTGGAGGGGGGCATAATGGCCCCCCCCCCGGCCTTATTAGGGTTAAAGGGGCTGTCGGTGTTAGGCCTCCCGCACGAAGCGTGGAAACTTAGACGTTTCCTTAAATTATTAGGAAAAGAAGACGATTTATTGTACCGATCTCGACTGTTAATCCTTGTCTGAATGAAGTCCCCCCCCCCCCCCGCGCGAAGCGCGAAAGCTTTGGCCTTTCATTAAATTATTATGAAATGTAGACGATTTGCTGTACCGTTCTCGATTTGTCTGAATTCAGTTTCTCCCCCTCCCACGCAAAGCGCGGAATCTTTGACGTTCCATTAAATTATGAGAAAAAACAGACGATTCGGTGTTCTGTTCTCGACTCTTAATCCTTATCTGAATTCAGTTCTGCCCCTCCCGCGCGAAGCGCGGAAGTTTGGGCGTTTCATTAAAGTATTAGAAAGTAGACGATTCGTTGAACCATGCTCGACTCTTAATCCTTGTCTGAATTCAGTTTCTCCCCCTCTTTAGACGCTTCATAAATTATGAGAAAAAGCAGACTATTCGGTGTACTGTTCTCGACTCTTAATCCTCCTTATCTGAATTCAGTTTTCCCCTACTCCCGCGCGAAGCGGAAGTTTTGACGTTTCATACAATAATATTAGAGAAAGAAGACGATTCGTAATACCATTTTCGACTCTTAATAATCCATGAATTCAGTTTCCCTATTTACCGCGAAGCGCGGAAGCTTTGACGTTTCCTTAAATTATTAGAGAAAGCAGACGATTCGTTGTACCGTTTTCGACTCTTAATCCTTGTCTGAATTCAGTTTTCCCCTTCCAGCGCGAAAAGCTTAGACGTTTGATTTAATTATTTTAGAAAGAAGACGATTCGTTGCACCGTTTTCGACTCTTATTAAGCTCTATTTATCTGAATTCAGTTTCCCCCCTCTTGCGCGAAGCGCGGAAGCTTTTGGCGTTTCATCAAAATATAGAGAATGGAAGACGATTCGTCGTACCGTTGTTGACTCTTTATCATTGTTTGAATTAGTTTCCCCGAAAATTTTAAACCTTTCTTAAGCTGATATTATAGGAAAGTGAAACTTCGAGAAAATACAAGTATTGTAGTTGTAGTCACTCTCGAAGTCGTCACAGCGGATAAAAAGTCACAGTTTGTAGGGAAAAAAACTTTTCGGCCGACCGACAATATCATACATCTCACCGACTTCAAACTTCTGCATTGATATAGTAAACGAGGATCGAGCAAGATTACCGACACAGCTGACCCGACACAGCAACATTTACCCGTGTCTTTTTTGCTTCCTTGTCGAGACGACTCCATCCACAACCTCCCCTCTTTCTTTTACTCCCACTCCTCCTATCTCAGGCTCTTATCTCCCCCCTCTCTCGTCTCTTCACCCCCGTTTCTTTTTTTTCCCTTTTCTCTTTTTTCTTCCTTTTTTTTCCTTTCTCTTTTCTTTCCTTTCTTTTCCTTTCTTTCTTTTCTTTTCCTTTCCCTCTCTTTTTTCCCTCCCCCTTTTCTCTCTTTTCCCGACGGCAGCGCAATTTTACAGACAATATCCTGACAGGTGGAGGGGTGTCACACCCCTCACACCCCCCCCCCCTTTGGCGACGCCCCTGGGCACATGTACAACATAAACCACCACCTGCAGAAAACGTTAGTTCAAAGTCTTGCATTTCAAAGTTCATCATACTGAATACTGAGGGTTTGCTTTTAAAAATATTGTTTTGATATGAAAATTTGCGTATCCGGACACTACCCCCTGAACATCCACCCCGGATAACCATGCACCCCCTGTCAACTACCCCCTAGGGCAACAACCCTCTAGGACGACTACCCTCAGGACAACTACCCCCGGACAATTATCCTCTGGAAAACTACCCCTGGTTATTCGGGAGGTGGATGTCCAGGGGGTAGGTGTCCTAGAACCGAAAATTTGATATCAAAGGCACTTCATAGTAAATAAATGAAAGCTTTATGAATATTCCCACCCGTTATTAAGTTTTTCATATTATCCAGAAACCTCGTGAGTCTTCTCATTCTACAGTATATATCCTAAGTTGGCCACCCAATATTCAAATATGCATCTTCTTTTTTATCTTCATAGTATCAAATTGAAATCCAACTACTACATACATAATTATGAATCTTGATGTACACCCCTCTTTCTTTTTTCTTCGTTTTTCTTCTCTCTCTCTCTCTCTCTCTTTCCCCTTTTACCAATATTTTTTCCTCCATATTTGTATTAGTATGCATGTACTCAATGAGGGTAGTCATGCTATCAAGCTTTGCTTACTTTGTCAACCCTCCTGCTTGATGTTTTCGACAGCCAGTCTTACTTTATTCTACATTATATTCTTTTGAACTGTGTAAACTTTGCAATGTTTTGTTTGTTATTTGTAAAACTTGTAAAATTTGTAAAAGAAAAAGAAAATCGAACATGAAAAATAAATCAAATCAAATCAAACCAAGTTACGGGTGTCTGATACCGTATCCGGACACCTACCCCCTGCATGGACATCCACCCCGGATAACAAACCCCAGTCAACTAGCCCCTAGGAAAACTACCCCTAGGACAATTACCCCCTAGGTCAACCACCACCCGGACAACTACCCCTAGGATAGTTGTCCGGGGGTAGGTGTCCTAGAGGATGGTTGTCGTAGAGGGGTAGTTGTCTGGGGCATAGTTGCCGGGGGTAGTTGTCCGGGGGTAGTTGTCCTAGGGGATAGTTTTCCCGAGGGGTAGTCGTCCTAGATGATAGTTACCATATTACCTAGAGGGTAGTTGACAAGGGGTGGTAATCCGGGGAGGGGGGGGGGGTGTCCAGGGGGTGGTGTCCTAGAACCGTTTGATACACATCATAAGATGGGTACATAATACAGTATACAGTTAACATCATAATATTACTAAGCCTCATGTTTAGTAACGGAAGTTTCCGACGTAACGTTGTTAACATATTTTGTTCGTATAATATCATACATGTTTATTGGGCACATTTCTTTTTCCAACCATCAATAAACAGTTAACAACGCTGTAACGAAAATTTTGCCAACCTTTAGGACATCAAATAATCATACTTGTGTATAATTATATAAACACGATTTTAAACATTTCTTTTGTTTCCAATGTTTAATGGCTTGAAGCGACATTTTTGGAAGGCCTATCTTGTTCGAGGAGCTCCTTTCTACAAACCTATATCTACAAGCAGGGGTAGCCGAGCGACTTCTAAAGTGGGGGAGGGGGGGGCATGAACAAAAAAAAGCACCCATTTTTTCAAGACATATATACAGGTATATACCCTACATTGTGCATCAAAGATGATTTCAATATTTGTTTCTCTTTATAAATCAAACAATATACT